TCGACTGCATTTTACTACTAGCTTATCTCCCCCTAGTTTAGAACTTCTAGAATCAGACATCCAAGTGATCAAAATTATTAGAGTTAAAAAGAAATCTTAATTATTTTATATTCTAGAGACGGTGGCCAGTCTACAATATAATGTGTACCCCACATTTTTCTATAAATATTTATATTTGACCTTGACCTTTGCCTAAGACCATGTTACACAAATCCATTCAAGACATCCTCATGTACTGTTGACTATTGTACGAAGTTTGATCAAAATCCATTCCAAAATGAAGTAGCTAGAGTGAAAACAAAAGAGCTAATTTGTACAATTATGCATGATCAGTCAATTTATTGCTGATAGTGAATGACAAGGTGAATTTTACACACTTGTAGTACACTTATACCCACCAATATACATAACGACTATTGATTCACCTACATGAAGCCTTGGTTTCCTTCCCATGTCTGAGCTACCACATTTGTCCTAATAATTGCCCTGGCATCGATAAGCACATCCCTCCCCCCTCCTTTATCCTGGTGCAAAATCCCCTTCCCTCCGCCATGATTTACCAACTTACAAGCTAAAAGAACCTACTATGGCCATTTTTGGGGAAATTTGGAAGTTGTGCAATCTTTCTGATTTTCTCAAATCGTGTTACAAATATGTCAAAAAGTCAAGTCTAGACATTGCAAACAATGATCGGCTTTACATCTCTCAAACGTTCTTCCCAAAACTCTTCCAATTCAAAGGTTGGAATAGTTCATTATGAAATTTCAAGGGGTGAGTGAGTTCAATTGGACTTGCCCAGTCTTTGATTTGGTACGGTTCAAATGTGACTTTAGGGGTGAATAGGTTAAAGTGAAACCAGTGACTGTACACAGTGTGAATGGGAATCACAGGACAAGTCTGTAGCTGTCATTTGATTTCACTACAGATCTGACACACATTAAAAACGTTTGAGACAGCCATATATACTGCTAGTGACAGACACATAAATCATTCCCATCACTTACTATTGTACTTCCTCAAGTTTTTTTGCCTGCAGTAAATATAGGTGTAGGCACATACAAACAGATGTTATCTGCATGTCCTGTCCCCGAGTAACATATTTCTACTTAATCTCAATCTAATGAGTCTCATTTGTTTTGACTTTACTGTTTCATAATCCACATTAACTCATTCACCCCTGAAATTTTATAATGAACTATTCCAACCTTTGAATTGGAAGAGTTCAAATATGTCTTCAGGGGTGAATGAGTTAAAACATACATTATGTGACTGTATCACAACTTCTGACGATAAGTTTTAACACTACCTCCCAAATGTGTACCCTCTAGCCCCTGGGTATGAGCCCTCAAGATCTGACAAGTGCAGTATACTATGAACTATGAACCCTCTAGATCCGATATGTAGAAAGCTCTTGACCCCTGACCTCACTGATGTGTAGTATACTTTAATTAACCTCTGACCTCTCTTAAAAATGTAGGGGTGAATGAGTCAGCCTGTATGACCCTGATCCCTCTGACCTTTGACCTTCTTGTATTGTATACATTGACCTCAACTCTAACCTCTCAGGTTACTGTAGCATATGCCGACCTTGTATGACCTCTTGGATGACTGTATACACATAATGCTTCACCACTCTTGATGTGAAGATCATATTAACTCATTCACCCCTACACATTTAAACTGGACTTGCCCAGTCTTTGATTCGGTAAGGTACAAATGTGCTTTAAGGTGGGAATGGGTTAAGCTTATTGTGTTGGTAAGTTATCCTAGTCACCTTGTTACATGTACAGTGTACATGATTTCAGTCATAAATGACAAAATAGAACATCACAGTTACCATGGTAACGCATCATCAGATAGCAGCAGAGAGGTGGCAGGGGAGATTGGACCGTGTACGTCTTTGTCCCAAGGGGAAACAATATTCCTGTGATACAGTAGAGGGCTAGCTGCAGCATAAACATGTATAGCTATCCGATACAACATAAAAGGACCCCCACATTCTCAGTAAATCCCCCAGCGGTAGACAGAAAATATTGTAACTCCGGTATAGAAGGACAGTTAAAAGCTTTGTAGTGTAAGGGAGGAACAATAGTTCTAGATGGGTACTAACTTGTAGTATTTCATAAAAGATGACTGATATTTTTTTCGTCGCAGCTTCTCTGATGTTCATTTAAATACAGCTTATACACAGGTGGGTTCTCTGTGTGTACCCTTATCATCTATAATTTAATACAGAAATTATTCAAATTTGAATTCAGTTGTACACAGGTCACTGACGATCAATGAAATTATTTTGATGCTGGCCAGCTTCTTTAACCCTTTAATGCATGGTAGAGTCTACTAAAGTTACATAGGGGTGAAAGGGTTAATTTCCTAAAGCCACCTGTAGCTGTAGTATATATATTTCTATAAGCACCTTGTATTATATTATTGACGGACCAACATTTATTCGTGTTTCAATCAATGTATGTGCATATGTACACACCATAGTCTGATAATGAACTCTATCTTTCAGGTCAATAGTAAACAAAATCCTGTGATCAACAGTCATTTGACTAATAAGCACACAAATATGTATACAGCACTTTCTCAATTATACGTCCAGGGTCAAGATATGAAGATAAAGCTGCATTAACCCCAAAATTCTGGATAAACCTTGGAACGTTTATCTATAACAGGGAAAAAATGTCCCCTTTGCCCTTGGAAAATTTGGCTATAATTCTCAAATTCATAAAATTCCCAAATTGGAAGGTGCAATAATTATGATGGGCAATTTCTGGGGAAAATGGTGCAACTTTGCATTTTACTGCATGAAAAATTCCTAATTCCATGGACCCTGGAGCCAGGAAAGCAGGTGTCAGAAAATTTCTGTATAAATCGATATACGATTTAATATAAATCAAAACAAACTGCAATGAAATATCATAATAAAACAAAATAAATCTGTCTGAAATCTCTTTCTTTGGCTATACCGAGCAATGTTAACTAATTTATATATTAAACAATTGAAATTTAATTTTCTTTTATATAGGTGTATTTCTTTCTATATATCACACCTGTATTTCTAACATACTGCATTTCCCTTATGAAACTTTTGTGCACCTTGCCATTAATCGTGAATATTTATAAGTAATATATAAATATTAATGAGTAATAGCATGATTTATCCTGGACTTAACCCTTTCACCACTATAGACCGTAATGGACTCATCCATACCAATGCATGGTAGAGTCTACATAAAAGTTATATGGGGGTGAAAGGGTTAACTTGTGAACCTCTCTGACATATGTTTCCTGCTATCTTACGTAACGAGTAAGTTAATCAGAACAGACCATAATATTTGAGAACTATCATTTTAAGTCTCTGTCATGGCAGTCTTACACAGGTTAATTCTGTCTGTAATTATAATAGTTTATGAGTGGTTTCCGTTCCAGAACTTTGTTAAAAATTCAACTTTAATTTTTTTTCAAGTTTTTGTTCTTTATCAAATTGATTTCTTCTACCGACACCCTAATGTTCCTTTTCGTTAATTAAGGAATTCATTTTTAGACAATGTTTTCATGTACAATACATTTTTTTGATGAATTAAGCTACTAACTCTCCAAGAACACAAGTTAAATTTGAACTGATTTGGAACAAGAGGCTCAATGGGCCTGAATCGCTCACCTGGTATTAATCTCACACTTGTAATCCTAAAACTGGACTAAAATACAGCTACAGGCAAAATATCAAAATTCAAATGTTTGAATCAAAAAAATGTATTGAAAGATTTAAACATATGACCCCTGTGACCTTGAAAGTTAAGCAAGAATAGGAGTTAAACAAGACTTTATAGCCTTATATCCCAGTATGCTTCTGGCCAAAAATCATCACCCTAGGCCTCTTGGTTATTCAGAAGAAGTTGTTATCAGCTTTCAAACATATTTGACCCCTGTGACCTTGAATATAAGTCAAGGACATTCACTAGAACAAACTTGGTAGTCCTTCATCTCAGCATTTTACTGGCGAAATATCATCGCCCTAGGCCTCTTGGTTATTAAGAGGAAGTCGTTAAAAAAGATTTTAACATGTTTGACCCCTGTGACCTTGAATATGGGTGAAGGTCATTTATTTGAACAAACTTGGTAGGTCTTAAATCATCCCAGCATGCTACTGGCCAAATATCATCATCCTAGGCTTTTTCTGTTACTGAAAAGAAGTTCTTCGAAGTAAAAAGTTGACGCCGGACGCCGCACCATGGCATAAGCTCACTTGCCCTTTGGGCAGGTGAGCTAAAAATGGTAAACTTTATTGAAAATCTTACAGTTAGCCGTTTTTTGTATATTACCACCCACTTATTTATACCATTGACCCACTTTCCTTTTGATTCATGTTGACATTGTTCATTTCCATTAGAGATTCAATCAATCAATTTAAATTATCCATAAATTTTCTAAAAATCTTATCAGACAAAACAAGATATATATTTTTTTTCTGATCACATCACATTAATTTCTGTAGCATTTATAGCAGTCAATTCAAGTTTTTACACGCAAAGTTAGTCTAATTTGTTGCAAAAAAAAAAAAAAAAATCTGTTTAATATCTTCCGCCAGCAAATCTAAGAAAACTTGAAAAGAATGGCCTAAAAATTTTAGATTGGAAACAAAAAGATAATTTTTCACTTGGCCTGAATATACAAAAATATTTCCGGAGTCTTGAATTTGGAAATTACGGCTTAACAGGCTCTACTTGTGTCGATATGGAGCCATGATCATGCAGACATGTTAAACTATATGGTACAACCACCTCCTTATCAAAGATATGTACGGAATGTTCCATCTGCACATAAACTTCAGTAGAGATGGAAAAACCAACCCAAATAACTTTTTATACTTTAATTAAACACAAGGAATTCAGAAAATCAGTTGAAACAGATCAACAGCCATAAATTTAAATGAAGACAGATGTATTTGTGCTGGTATTAGTTTTTTGTGTTACATGTTTTCTTGACAAACCCACCTGCTGCGCAGACTTCGGCTTTGCGACGGTTGGTGCCGATTGTGATTATGGTCTAAATTCAAGCTTTCCCGGGAACCCGATTGCGACGCAGAGGCACGTAGGTTTTCCCTCGATCCAGACTTATTTCTTGAATTGAGAAAACTTTCCAGGGGCCCCATAGCCCTGGACCCAAAATTGAGGACTTCCATGGACCGCCATTTTTTTCCCAGCGGCATACTCTCACGATATGATAAAAAATATCACGCCACCAATCATTAACTTCCGTAGTATAGATAGACACCACTTTGAGAAACTCACCACAAATATATATTATAACTGAATGATTCACGACTACATTCCGGGAAAACACTTAAACAAACACATGATTTTCATTTTCCACTCGTTGAGATTTCTTTTACAGATCCTGGTTTTGATAAAATGTTTTTAAAATAAAACCACCAAGATTGATAAAACTTCCAAAAAGATCCACGCATTGAAAGAAATTACACACAAAACATCATTTTAAAGATCCACGTTTTGATAGAAACACCGGTAGTAGACATATTCACACAGAAATGCTTCAGCATGCTTAATGAGGTTAAAACCCTCCCCTAATAATTTCCCCCTATATACAACACACTGGAGACATCACACAATGGTATGCCCGGTCGCCATCTTCTTCTATTCCCCTTTCATCCTCCAGATCTTGTATCCTTCCACGGTCACATACTCCCCGTTAACACACCTGTGGAATTGCCACCACACCTGTCTAAAGCACACCTGTAGGACACCACACCTGACCTGTGGACACTTTTTCCACTACAGGGACACACATGTACAACCCTGGGGAGGGCCGAGTAAAACGTTTTAAAAGGTTGTCCCAGAGACTTGTGGCTGTCAGTGAGTCAGTGTGTGTGTAGAGTCGTCAACATCTGGTTCACATCCCCTAGTGTGTACATGTATGTATGCGGACCTATCACTGTATCTCCTCCCCAACACACTGTAGTGTGTGTGTGCCCAACATCTCCAAAGTTTATACACTGTCATATATACAAGTACACCAGCCTTCAGGAAGGGACGCATATATAATCCTATGGCAAGGAGTATATATATATCAACACCGGAGAATAGATATATTCGAGTATAGATACTTGAGTATCTATACTCAATTGAGTATAGACATATAAACATTTATGTATAAATATATATATCATTTTTCTGATTTATATTATATAATATATATATATATGGGTCAAAGAAGTAATATAGACGGTAAAATCCCATATAACACTGGATCCTAATGGAGGTATGTCTGTAGGATACGAATTACTTAAATATTATATGGGGCAAAGAAGTAATTCCAACAGTGTGGACAAGTTTAGGTTGTCAAATTTTCGGAGCGATCTTAAATGAGTTTTCATTTCATATGAGATTTTATGAAATGAGTCTTAGGAGTTTTTCTTTTTGTGAGCCTTGGCGAGCAAAAATTAAAACTTTGAGACGAGTGTATATATATACATAAATGTTTATATGTCTATACTCAAGTATCTATACTGTCTTGAAAAAGGAGTGGGCTGCTCCGAATATTCAAATTTATTTTGTCCACATTGTTGACATCCTTTAGTGTTCTATTTCATTATTCTATCATAGATATCTATAATGTGATACAGATACAGGATTATGAGTTAAGACAATAGAATATAGATATTCAGAATATATATAGACAGCAATGAAACGATTTTGAGGAATACTTTATACATACACGGGAACAGAGATATTGAAGCAATGTGTTCTTGAGTAAAGATACCGGACTATAAGTACGGACACAGGAACAGAGATATTGGGGTACGGAAAGTACGGACACAGGAATAGAAATATTGGAGTACGGAAAGTACGGACACAGGAACAGAGATATTGGAGTACGGAAAGGACGGACACAGGAACAGCGAGATTGAAGTACGGAAAGTATGGACACAGGAACCGAAATATTGGAGTACGGAAAGAATGGACACAGGAACAGAAATATTGGAGTACGCAAATTACGGACAAAGGAACAGAGATATTGGAGTACGGAAAGTATGGACACAGGAACAGAGAGATTAGAGTACGGAAAGTACGGACACAGGAACAGAGATATTAGAGTACGGAAAGTACGGACACAGGAACAGAGATATTGGAGTACGGATAGTACGAACACAGGAACAGAGATATTGGAGTACGGAAAGTACGGACACAGGAACAGAGATATTGGAGTACAGAAAGTACANGAACAGAAATATTGGAGTACGCAAATTACGGACAAAGGAACAGAGATATTGGAGTACGGAAAGTATGGACACAGGAACAGAAATATTGGAGTACGCAAATTACGGACACAGGAACAGAGATATTGGAGTACGGAAACTACAGACACAGGAACAGAAATATTGGAGTACGGAAAGTACGGACACAGGAACAGAGATATTAGAGCACGGAAAGTACGGACACAGGAACAGAGATATTGGAGTACGGAAAGTACGTACACAGGAACAGAGATATTAGAGTACGGAAAGTACGGACACAGGAACAGAGATATTTGAAAGAGATATAGACAAGAATGAATTGATTTTGAGGAACACCTTCCATTAACAGTCCTTTTTAAGGTGAAATAGAGGGTTTATAAAGGCCCCCTTCCCTTAGATAATTTCTGCTGATGTTTTTTCCTTAAGTTAATGCAAAAATGACTTTATTTTCCCAAAGTCATGCTTTTCATGTGTGATACTTTCCCAAAGTCATGCTTTTCATGTGTGATATTTTCCCAAAGTCACAATGCAAGGGCACATGTACAGGCCCCTGTGGAAAGGAGCTTGAAGAAGAAAATTTACTGACGAACAGAGTAGTGGAATCTTGAGATAGAGGAGTATAGAAACTGGATTCATTGGAATGCAGTTATATTGATTATGAGGAACAACTTTTTAAAAAAAATCAGGACCATGGTTAAAATTCTTATAAATATGCATAAACTCAGTTTAATATGGCGTCGAAATATTTCAACATCCCGTCTAATCCAAACATAACATTGTAATTCCATTCTTAACCAAAATCCGGAATATAGTGATATATTATAATTGTATAGAAATTATATATAGCGGACATCTAATGAATGATAATCATGATTTACATTCATTCTACGGAATTAATTCTCTATATTAGAATTCTCTATATTAGAACTTACACACTTTGTCGAGAAGACTATTCTTGGAATTGATTAACGGGAATGGATACAAAACATAATCTATCATCGTGACATCGGATCGTCTGCTCATGACACGAAAGTAAATTGAGTCACGGTTTTATCACGCTGCATGTGGTTGTTCCAAACTCTGAAATTCTTAAACAAGAGGCACAGAGGGTCTGTATCGCTCACCTGGATATTTGAGCAATCATGGGAAAATGTTCTCCATAAAAGTAATTTTGCAAAACTTTCAATATGTTGAGTCTTCTGGCTTTAAGAATGATATAAACTAAATGAAACTTTATACTACTTTATCCAAGCATGCTACTAGACAAATATCGCCCAGGGCCTCCTGGTAATGCAAAAGAAGTTGTTAAAAGGTTTTTTGACCCCTTTGACCTCGGAAGTAGGTCAAGGAAATTTATTTAGGGAAACTTTGTAGCACTCCATTCCAGGTTCCTACTGGCCAACTTTCATCACCTTGGGCCTTCTGGTTGTTCATAAGTTGTTAAAAGGATTTTATATATTTGATACCCGTGACATTAAAAGTTAAGTCAAGGTCATTTATATGATAAACATTTATAGCACTCTGTCCTAGAAAGCTACTGGCCAGGAATCATCACCATATGAGTCTTATTTATTCAAAAAGATGCTAAAAGCTTCGTACCAGGTGAGTTAAAAACCACAGACATAACAAACTTTTTGTTTGCAGTTATGTGAGTGATGAAACCTATTGCAGTTCAGTGATCAACCTTCAATTTATTTTCATTGGTCGTTTTCAACAGTTTTGCTAAAAACAATGGGTCTCGCAATGTTCAATTTCTATGAGTACAGGACTCGGGACTTGTATACATGTAGATTTATCACTGCAGTTATGGGAGAGTCATGATGAAACCTATTGTAGTTATTGAAGTGGAGCTGTAGAGCTCTGAAGGTATTTTTCTGTCTTACACCGACACATATGTGACATTCAGATCAGCACCCTAGTGTAGCCATATGTTACCACACATCACAAACATTAAACGTAGCCTTTTATCAATATTCATCAATAATACGCGACATCTTACACTATATGTAATGTTGATACAATGTTACGGGTAGGAACACCCACATTAGGTATATGTCCTGACTTTAGTTAAGGCAGTGTAACATTTGATCTCGGTACATTTATATATGCAGATTTTTACCTCTGCCCAGCATCCTCGATATCCAGGGGTTACGCTCACTTTTTCTCTCTGCATGCATGTCATATCAAAATCGAAGGTTCAGTGTGCACCTCCTTATGGATGAGACGAGAAGACTAGTTTGATCCTTTGATGTACATCAAAAGTATCCCGCGGTTGCCTAACGGTTAAACTTATTGGCTTTGGAGTCGGGCGTCGCTCCTCTGTAATCTTCAAAGGACAGGTATCAGCCTTAAGGTGATTGGTCAGGGTTTTTTACCCGACACCAATCAAATAGCTAGCCTCGTGTCTTCATTTTTGCTATGACATATTCCAGGGTTGCAGAGAGCGAACGTGAGCGTTACCCCTGAATTTCGAGGATGTCTAGATCTGCCCATATGTATATTAACAAGTTTTACTGTATATTTAAGCCAAAATGGAAACTTGTGCTTTTGTTTTCCCTAATTGTTTAACCTAATGCTTTCTTTTTTGTTTTTCGATAATTTTCTAATGCCAATTTTCAAAAATGTGCAAACAGCACTTGGTGCATATCCTTCTTACACACTGTGTCAGGGACAATACTTGAGATATATACATGCATGTATGCACCACTATTAGGTGACATCACACACCCTTGCAGGTCGGGGATATAGAAAATAATACACCTGCTTCACATAGTATTTCAGTGAGATAGCACTCTAAAGTCGGTGTCAGATTCCCATTATTGCAAGAAGGCTAATACACAAACATACCCCTCCAGCACATACACATTCATATATATAACTCTTTCACCCCTATGGAACTTTAGTAGACTCTACCATCCATTGATATGGATGAGTCCATTATGGTATACAGTGTAGAACACGGAGGCACATCCTTTAATGACTTGAGCTGTTAGTATACTAACTGAAGCCCAATGAAACCAAACCAAACTAAACGCTATAAAACAACATTTACGTAAGAAATTCACAAATTGTAGAAGAGGAATGTGAATTTTATTAAGAATAAAATCATTCTCAAAATATCTTTCACAGCAAGTCCTGTTACTCAGGCCAAAAATATTTACAGCTGGTTCCTAATACTGCCGTCACACCGGACTGGCGTCCTTACTGCGTCCTAAACTGTCATATTTTGGAGAACGCCGATGGTCGCATTGAGAACGCCAATGATTTTTCTAAAATAAATCCAGATTTCGAGTCAGCCGTCACACCGGAGTTCTGTGCCCTGCGATCTGTGTATGTACACGGCGTTCCCAACACGACGTTACCGCGTTCTTACTGCGTCCTTGGAGTTTCTATTGAGTTTAAACGGCGTCACTGCGGCGTCCATACGGCGATCAGCGGCGAACCCACTGCGTTCTTAGCGTTTCTACCGAGACCTTACCACGTGCATGGCGTTCCCACAGCGACTGCAGGGCGACCCAACGGCGTCCTCGCTGCGAGTATAAAACTCCACTGTTCTTTCGGAAAGCTTCATTCATTATTTTACTCTCATCCGTTGAGGTCACGCATTTTAACGTGTACACATTTTAAACTTATACGCAACGTTATGCCGAAAACCAGGGGCCGTGGGCGTGGGCGAGGTATAGCAGCCACGACAGCCTCAATATCTCCAGCA